CATTTTCTCCACATCTTCGTTGGCATGCTAAAATTAATTAGAAAAATGTACATATGTATGTATGTTAAAAATATTAATATGTAATATATTGAATAAAAACAAGTCTAAATTCGGGCCACATTTAATGTCTTATACCCAGCACACGTATTCATAAAATTAATCTTGTATTACGCACCGAGAGATCCACAACCCTTTTCAAAAATTTTACTAGAATCATAGTTTTTTGGCAAAAGATTCATCTAAATACACAGTGCAAGACTCAAGAAGTGATGGGAATGCGACCGACTGCATTCATTAAAGAGTTCAAAAAATTAATAAAAGCCAAAGCCACTTAATTTCGCGTTAGAAGAATGTGTATCGGATCTAGATATCACTAATTTTACCCAGGAAAAACTAGTTTCTCCCAGGATCGAGTTTGGCCAGTAACATATCGCACGTTTAATAATATACAGAATTATCCCATATCTTCGCCATTATTGGGAAGTTTAGATATCTGTTGGGCTGAACATATTCTCCTTATCAAGCTTAGTATGATTAAATCTCCAAAAACGTAAATTTTGAGTTACATCTGTATATTATTAAACGTGCGATACATATAATGAAATGTGTTTTTTTTATTTTTTTTTTTTAGAAATTACACCTGAAAACATGAAGTTGCAAATTGAGTTAAAAAACAAATGGCAACCAACTTTTTCAAATAAAAAATCTTAATCAAATGCTGTTGGTCCGATTCCCACCACCTACAACTTTTTGAAATTTGTTGCACTGTGATATTAAATCTTATCAATTGACCATCACTACATATGCTTTTGCTTTTCAAAAACACCCCTAAGAGCCGGGTGTGGTTACTGTCCTATTTCGCAAATATTTAACTTTTTTGGGAGATATTGGTTAAGCGATTGCCGAGATACACCCATACAGTCGGGGCAAGGACTGCCACTCCAGAATTATTCCCCAAAAACTATTTAGGGAATTTGTATAATGTTACAACAACAACAACAAAATACACACATTACAATAAGATGGATAATTTTATTGAATACAACAAACTTGGAGGAATAACCCGAAGTTATGCAGACTTCGTGCCCCGGCCATTCAATTCAGAGAAAAAAATAATTTGGATCCCATTTCGCTTATTTTTAATACCAACCTATTTTGCATACTAAAGTTCTATCTGTCTCGATTCTTGGGGTATTACTTAAAACTGTTGTTATGGAGGGACTATCTACAGTTTAACGACTACTAACATCAGGTGATTCTATGCGAGAAGCTTTTAATCGCAGAAATAAACTCTGAAATTTTCCCATTTCGTGTCGCAATATACACCTCAAACCATCAAAAAACTGCTCTTAATGAGCTTGGCAAAACAAACACCCAAATTCATAAAAAAAAGAAGACTTTATGTGCTTAAAATGCCATTTTATCGAGCTCTTTAATTCTTTTTTATTTTTTATGAATAAGGCCAAAAGTCTTTTATCTTTGGTTATGTTGCTAGTTTATGTAGTTGATTGTGTTTACTTAAGCTTATTTTA